TGCGGGGCGGCCCAACCGGAGCCGCAGAGACGCTCGTGGCGTGCGGGGGAGAGTGCGTGAGGCAGCTCTGCGGAGTGGGGACGTGGGTGTTGAATCCTTGAGTTACTCTTGTAGCAACCAGGATGGGCAGGGCTTTTCCCCTTCCACCGTTAGAATCATAGAATCGTTTTGGTTGGAAAAAACCTCTAAGACCATAAAGACCAGCGGTTATCCCAGCACTGCCAAGTCCCAAATAACCCATGTTCCTAAACACCACATCTACACGTCTTTTAAATACCTGTGGTGATGGTGACTCCAGTACTTCCCTGGACAATCCGTTCCAGTGCCTGACAACCTTTCCTACCACCCATCATTGATTCTTAGTGCATGGTTTGACGAAAGTGTTTTTTTTTTCCTTATCTTTAAGCTGAACAACCTCACAAAGTGGTTGCAAGTTACAAACCTTCGAAGTTTGACAAAAAAATCCTCCTCTGGACTGGACGTTTCAAGACAGAAGAAGAGATTCCTCAGAGGATCCCGTAAGTCTGCTGCTTTTGTCCAAGAGGAACATGGAGCTGAAGGGAAAGTGATGGCGTGATCCTAATCTAAAACTTTTCCACAGATTTTGAACCAGTCCGTTTTTGAACTTGGAAACAAATTAGAGGGCAAAAGAGTTTCCTGTTCTGGTTAGAGGTTAAGATGAAAATATGTTCCTTACTGGGGTCCCCAGAGCCTGGGATTAAGAACTGGATCTATCTGAGGAGACAGCCTTGGTTACATTTATGTACTGGTTTGTTTATTTTGCTTATTCCTAATGTGCAAGCTAGAGAAGGATGTTATTGGTAAACACTGGTTTTTGTTTATAGCTCCCATAAATGGTTCTTAGGGAGCCAGTTGTCACTGAATGATTGCATCCAGCAAATTGATTTATTATAGAATTTGAAGAAAAAATAGAGAAGGAGATTATAAGATAAATGTTCCCCACCAAGGAAAACCAAGTTGTTGACAGAGCCTTCGCCTCCCATTCTTGTTGACTCATTGGACTAAATGATCTTCGAAGGTCCTTTCTCACTCAAGCCACACTGATTCTGTGGTTCTATGACTTGCTGAAAGTTGGCAACCCCTAAGGGAGTCAGTCACTGAACATGTGAATCCCCTGTAGTGTTTGTTAGTTGCTGCCTTTTTTTTAAGATGTTTGATAGCACATGATTGATAGCACATGTTTGATGTCTCTCTCCAGGACTTCCTATCATCACAGTATGTCCCTGTCTTGGGTGGTATTTTGACAGTTTAGCTGGTGTTTGCTGAGCAGGACAGTGGCTTTCATCTGTCCCACCACTCTTGCGTGATGTTAGTCCCACCATCGTCCCTATAGAAAAGTTCAGAAAGGTCTCAGAAGTTCTAAAGGCTCTTCAAGCCATCAGGAGTGGTTTATAAAGACCCATAGGTTTTCCAGTCCCTGTACATACATGCACACAAATTGCTCATTTCTTTGCAGTAGTTGGCCTGCCACGTGCATGTCACCACTTTGTGCTTTCTGGGTGAGCAGAATCTTTTAGAACTGTAAGATCATGAATTGTAATATACTAGAATAAGTTAATTGTGACACATTGAAACATGTGTCACTGTTTTAACTACTGAAAAAAAAAATAATCCAGACTTGCAAGATTTTGTTACCTGTGAACACAATCTAGCTGCTGAAGGTAGCCTGTACTAAGGATCAAATCTGCAGTCCTTAGTCAAGGTGGCTGGTTTGCTGTGTTTTGCTTTTTTTCTTAAAACAGCTGTTGTTTGACTTCAGCAGAAGTTTACCCAGAGTCTTGATTAAGGATTGAGTAGCAAAGGCCTTAATGTACAATTAGGGAGGACATAATCAGGTCTGTTTTCCTTGAAGCAGAAGCAGAAAGCAGGGAGAATGTGAAAATCTGCTTCAGGAGAGTTTTGATTAGCGCATTGTGAAATATGATTAGGCTAATAAGCCAGACTAATTACATTTATAGTGTTGCTTTTGTTGGTACAAATGGATTACTGGATTAATGATCTTATGTGCTAGTCTGATGTGTGGTTTGTTTTAAAGATGATATTTACCATTGTACAAAACAAAAGCAGTTACTTGGAACTGCAGGCCTTATCAGTCACCTGCAAGAAACATGGCAAGTGCAGCACGTGTGTGTGTGTGGCAGGGAAGGGGATAGTGTGGCACAACCGCTCCTCAGACTTGCTCTTTTCTGCTGCATTAAGCCTTCACAAGAAGCACTGCAGCCCTCAGCCCAGGAGCAGGTTCCTATGGACAGAACTTCCACTATAAAACCCAAGCTCAGCCCTGTCCCACCACTCATCCTCTGAAGGTGTTTTAGGGGAAAGGGATCACTAAAAAATCTTTATTCACAACATAAAATCAATTATTTATGCAACTATCCTTTTTACATATATATTAAACCATAACTACATATTATGTATATTTATATTCTGTATCTTATGAACAGATATATTTACACATATAAAGCATTCTCATGTGATTTATGAAAGAAGAATAGTGCACAGAATCACAGAGTCTTAGGGGTTGGAAGGGACCTCGAAAGATCATCTAGTCCAACCCCCCTGCCAGAGCAGGATCACCTAGAGCTCATCACACAGGGAGGTGTCCAGGTTGGTTTTGAATGTCTACAGCGAAGGAGACTCCACAACCTCTCTGGGCAGCCTGTTCCAGGGCTCTGTCACTCTCACAGGAAAGAAGTTTTTTTCTGATATTTATATGGAACCTCCCACGTTCCAGTTTGCACCCACAGCCCCTTGTCCTATCTCTGGACATCACTGAAAGAAGCCTGGCTCTGTCCTCCTGACACTTGCCCTTAACATATTTGCAAACTTTGATGAGGTCACCCCTCAGTCTCCCCTTCTTCAAGCTCAAGAGACCCAGCTCCCTCAGCCTTTCCTCATAAGGGAGATGTTCCACTCCCTTCATTATCTTTGTGGCTCTGTGCCGGACTCTTTCAAGCAGTTTCCTGTCCCTGAACTGATGCAGCCTCACCAAGGCAGACAGCATTAAAATGAACATCTTACAGACAGTACTCCCAAGTACCATGTCTGACTCAGAAAATGACTTAGCTGAAAGTTTTGAGACTACTGTAGTGATCCGGAGATTTCTTGTACTCCTGGTTCTCAGGGATATGCAGCCTACTGCTGCTTCTCCAAGTGGAGTAGGGTGGGAAGGGGAGCTGCACCAGTGCAGCTTGCTGGGCTGAACGGCGACTCTCACACCAGCTGCTGCCAGACACTAGGCAGAAGTTTTTTGCCTTGAATGACCAGCAAAAATAATCATGTAGATTGTTCTTGTTTAGGTGTTTCTGTAATGGTGAGAAGCCCACATGAGCTGCCCACTAAATAAAGCTGCTGCTTTTCTGAAGCACTGACTAAAATCTCTAGCTCATAGCAGTACCACCTGTTTTCATCATCTAAGCATGTGGAGTCCCTAGCCTACAGTATCTGGGATGCCATCTGAACAGGTTAGACCTGACTAAATAATGAAAAAGTTAATTTTGAATAAAAGGAACTTATTTTCACTACATCTGGTTGACACCACATACACTTCTCCATCTGTTTAAAATATGTAAAATCCCTTAAATTTCTAGAGCTTAAGATACAGCTTCTGGTATATTTCCCCAAATATTTAAGGGCAAGTACTTTTTTTTTTCAGCTTAAAAAAACCCCAACCAACCAGCTTAAATCCATTAAATGGTGCTTTTCCACTGGAAATGGATTAGGGTCAGAAAATGCAAAGTCCTTGGGTGGTACATAACCAGACATAGCAAGCTGAATATGCTCATTTTAAAAGCTAATTCTATTATTTTATTATGAAGAGACATTAATAGTTTTGTAACCATTCCATTCAATAACTGTAATTACAGGCCAGAGATGCTAGACAAGGCAAGAAACAAAGCTCGAGTTAAAGCTTGTTACATCATGATTGGACTCTCCATTGTTGCCTGTTTTGCAGTGATTGCCTCAGCTAAGAAGGTGAGTACAGCACATTTCTGTGAAAAGTAGACAAACCTCAGCAGCAGTGACTTGTCACTGCCCTAGTTTTAGCTAACACAGACTCCTATCACCCTGACACTTAAGTCGTTGCTGGCTGTTCCTGCATTGAGTAGCTTTCCCTGAGGTGCATCATTACTCCTACTACTCTACTCTGAAGTAGATGTTTTACTTCCACAGGCTGCTGCACGTCATGAGTCCTTAACAAGCTGGAACCTGGCAAAGAAAGCCAAGTGGCGGAAAGAGGCCGCGTTAGCAGCGGAGTCAAAGACAAAGTAACTTTGTATGAAATGCCAAAAGTCCTACTAGGGGAAAATTAACTGTTGCTGAGAGCGATTAGTGAATTTCACCAGTAAATGGACAACTGTAGTATTGCATACACTAGAGTAAATAAGGATAGTCACAGGATCACAAAAAGAAACAGACGGTCTTTTTTATTAGACTTAATGGATGTACTCTCTGCAAAATTAAGATGAGAATGCTTCATGCATGATTAAAAGCAGTAACTAATTTCAAAGACGATGAGGTAGTTTCACAAGTTTCAGGTACAGGGGAGCCCAGTTCCCATTACCTGTCTTGTTACACTTTCTTCAGGCTTATCCTGAGCTGTTACACAGGCTAGCAGTATTTTTCAATGAAAGTTTGAATGCAGCAGACCAACCAGCAGTGAAGTGACTGCATAAAAACTGCAACAGTAAGGAGACTTTATACACTTCACGTTGGCAATTTAATATAAAGAGGAAATTGTAATCAGTCAGAAATATTAAAAATTTGAGACTGCGTGAGGACAGGAGAAATGGCTTGATGATCCCACAAATTCTCAAATCCTTATAAACTCCATGGGAATTCCCAAAGAAGTGGTTGGTTCTGCAGGACTGTGATTATTGTGCAAGTGTTATGTTTGGTTAGATATTTACAAAACATGTTTGAAACCAGAAAGTTTTCCATCTGGTGACCATGCCTAGTTTTTACAGTGCACAAATCAGCCAGCTTGAATTCATTTACTTTAATGCTGTATTCAAAATGGCATTTTTTTCTCTAGTTTAAGAAGCCACACTTATCGAAACACTAAATAAAGACAATAAACATCTGTAAAATAGGTTTTATTGGTTTCTGTATGGTATTTGGAGATTTAACATTCCATAATATTGCATACTACTCATATGTATTCTGTTACAGTAATGGGCCTTTGGCCTGGATTTAAAGATGCACTATTACTGTCTGGAGTTAGCGTAGGTAGTGTAGTTTCAACACATTGTATAAAGATTTTGTGCCATAAGTAACTGAAATTTCTCATTCCAGATGTCAATGAACTTTTGAGGTCACAGTTAAACTTCACATCAATTGGCAGACCTATTACAAAAATCCTCAGTTTTGGACAATTCAGTAAATTTAAATCAATTGAGAACTGACCGTGAAGGAAAGACAACAGTGCATCTTTTAAATTTTTTTAATTAAAGACAGACCTGACAATAAACATTTTCCAGTTGCAAACTTGTTCTACAGCTAACTTGTATCTGTGCCAACATTATTACTATCTTCTGATTGCTTCTAGCAACAGTGTTTAAAGCAAATACTAGAAAATAAAAAAGCTGTATGAACCAGTCCTCAGACAAAAGTGCAACAATGAAAAAAGTAAGGTATGATTCAGTGTATCGAGTATGGAACTAAAAAAAATAAAATCTTATGCTTTGCATAGTTGCATAGATTAGCTAGTTAGTATTCACATTTAAGCAGAACAAATGGTACCATTTTGATTAAAACCAAAACCACAAAAAAACAAACCCCTGTATTTTTAAACATACTTAGTAACTGATGGGGCAATTCAGATTCCATATAAAATAGCAAGCTTCAAGAGATTTTTCTCACAGAGGGCTTTTTGGGGTTTTTTGTTTGTTGCTTTTTTTTTTCTCCACACTGGTTTCATCTGTTTAGGCAACAACATATTCACACCCTACCTGCAAATGACTACACCAGAGCTGACCTTAAGTTGCCATCTCTGGTTTTATATTGTTCATTTACGTGCTCTTTAACAAATGTGATGTAAAACCAGTGATAAAATGGGAGAGGCAATCCTGTATATTTAGCATTTAAAGGAGAATTTTCATTATTATTTTAACATTTTAGGGTAAACCAAATGTTGAGTTTAAATAATGGTTTTCATCAGCCAAAGTTCACCAATTTTAATTCCCTTTTAAATTGTTACATTTAAATGTATCTGAGGCATGAAATAGTATTATCTAAATGCATAAAGTGCAGTCACTAACGGTTCACACACATATCCACAAAACTGCAGACATTTTTTCAAAGTAATATAATACTTTAAATGGCCCATCTTTTCTTCATTTTCAAGTCTTTTAACCAAGATTTTTATAATTCAGATTTGGTTTAAATTAGAGATGCTTATAAATGCAGTTTTTACAGGGTTCTCCAAATAAAAAGCAGGCACAGCTGGTTATGTTATCCAAACAAAGTTGTGAGAAACAATGGAATACCCTGTTACCTGAATAATTTTCTTACACTAGAAGAACACTGAAATTCAGCATTTGCTAGTAATCCTGGTAGCTTTCCATGACTGTTACCCTGTACTTTGAACAGATGGGGTGAAGGAAGGTCAGTATATGAAAACCTAAAACTATGAGAGTAAAAAGGGCACAAATACAATCATCTAACAACATTATATGAAAATTTGGCAGCTGTACTCAGTATTATCACACCACTTAAAACTGTTATATGCTGTACAAATCTAGGTTTAAAGTGTCATTTGCTAAAATATCTCCTTATTCAGAGTTCATAAAGTAACAGCACTCCTATATACACTTCTTACACTTCTATGTTCTGCTAAGAAGACTTCAAAAAGAGATTTCTTCCCTCCCAGTTATGTCTTGGTCAAAACTGACCACTGATCCTAGAAAATCCACTTCAAGTCCTGCATTCAATTACAATATAGTATATATTGCTGTAACATAGAAGTGAGACATCTTAGAATCTTAAATTGCATGTAAAAAAAAATCTAAATATAAAATGGTACTGTAAATGATACCACTTTTAATGTGTATTTTTCCGTGCAAGCACAGTACCATGAAGTATGTAATTTGAAGTTTTAAGTTGCAGCTTTTATTGAAGCATGAGATGCTCTCATAACTCAGGAGTTTGATGTTAATACATTATAGGTTAAAAAAATAATACTTTAGAGTTAACCCAAAGTATTAATTTCTCCAAATGAGATATACTACTAATATGCTAGAAAAACTACTTATATGCAAGTCCAAGCAGAGCATACGTTTTTCTGTATTCAAAACTGTTAACGTAAATATTAGAATTCTATTTCTTTTAGTGCTTAACTGTGAACACTGTATATCATAAAGCCTAAATATTCAGATAGCAGTAACTTCTAGTTAGTTTTGGTGTCCAAATACTTAATGCTATTTACAGTACAACAAACTTTTCCTTCAACTGGAAAGGAGTGATTCACTATTCGTTCTTCACTGCAGTATTTCTATCGTCTTATCAAAATAAAACAGTTAGTTAACTTAAAGAACAACTCAAGTGGTAATAGCATATTTGGTCAAAAAAAATGACACCTACTCTCTAAACTTTTAAGAAGCTAGTGTACTAGAAAGGCAAACATTACAATGTATCTCAAACTAAAGTGGTGCTACCACGTTTTGACAGGAGACAGTTGTAAACCATCTGCTTGGTGATTTGGGCAAATGACCATCTCTGTCATTCATAATCACAGCATTCTTATAACTACAGCAACTGCACCCACAGCAAAGTATTTTACTTGCGGCTGACTTTTAATGCTATTTAGCAGCTTTAATTACAGAGCCAACATCAAATGACCAGCAAGCTCTCTACTGATTTCAATTTGAAAACCTCTGAAACAGTCCTCTTCCCACATGATCCAGAAAAAGCTTTTCCATATATTCAATATTATATTAGCATTATATATGTATATCTATTATGTCTTTAAATACATTTTATAAATAAATTCCAACAGTGTGTTGTAAAGCAATTAATGCATAAAAGTTCCACAATTTTAAATAAATATTTTTCACATTCCAATTCAGCTTCTTACAAGCTCATCTTGATTTCATGCCTTAGTTCTGAAGCAACGTTTTTGCTTCAATACAAGAGGTAGATTTGATAAGAGACTGGGCAAGTCAAGCCTACTGCCAAAAATGCAACTGTCAGTAACTGTATTGCTGATACGCAGTTTGAGACTATGTGAAAATTTCATAAACACTACCTAAAATCCTACCAAGTCTTAGCTTAACAGTTTTTGTTAAATCACATTTAATGTTTTACTTCAGACATGAATAATCAGTTATTTTCTGTACATATGAGATAATGAAAAACACAAATACAAAACCAAGAACAGTTGTATCTAACACAGTATATAAAAGTGCATGAGCTGCTTCATCTATTTTTGCAAAACATATTCAATTTCCTGTAACTTTGGCCATGAAGAAAAGACCTCTGGAAAAAGAAAAACCCAAAACCCTACAAGTGTTTACTTTTTATGCTTGTCACTTTAATAGTTTACAGCTGAAACCCCTCCATTGGAGCCTCCTGCTGTTGAAACACAAACTGCTGCTGACTTTCATCCACCTGAGGTGCAATACTGGAGTCCTCTTCTTCCACACCAAAGTAATGTTCTATGAGTTCGAAAGCTTTTTGGTAGATCTCTTGGTTTTCATGCCTCTGAAGAAATTCAATTTTATCAAGTCCTAAATTTGAAACAAAGCATTTTCAAAATCTAGTTGCTTAAAAGAATGACAAAATAAAGGCAGAGAAACCTGTAGTATGAAAACATACTGGTGATTCTTAGGATTAAAAAAAATGCAACCCCAAGTAGTTCTCAATTCATTTGAGATCACTCATTCTTCATTTCTTAACTTCCTAACCCATGTATTTCTAGCCTTCCTTTTCTGCAGCATTTTCTGCTATTCAAACTCATTTTAAAACTATGATAAAAGAATAGGAATTAAACTAAGGAGGAGGTAGTATCTACAAAGAAACATGCCATGTGTACAAATGAATTTAAACTGTACATAACTGTTTGCTATAGCAATTTCCAATATCCCCATTCCTTTTTATTACTCTTTCAGTCTTTTCCAACTCTAAATTCTACCCCCAATTCTGGAGTCATCACTGGGCGGGCAGTCTGGTATCATTTTTTAAATTTAAGATTTGAAGACATTAGCTTTCCAAAGGCTTATAATCTGCAAGCTAGAGGACATAACCTCTGCTCTGCTGGCAGAATTAACTGCTTGGCAGACAGGTTGATTCAAAGCTCCTTTTTGACTATTTAAGGTAATTCAGTTTTCACTTAAATTGGATTAGGAAGAGCTTGTATTAACCCTTCTGGTGACTATTGGGCCCAAAACAGTGAGCATGATATAATCAGGTGTCTCCTTCACTGAACTTCTACCCTACAGCTTCAGCAGCCTATGCTAAACTGGTAACAGGAAAAAAAAAAAATTAACCTAGACATTCAGTAGTTGAAATTGTAAACAGAAATAGAAATCTGGAACAGAATACATTCTATTAAAGTATTCAGTACTTATTCCTCTTATATGTTAGATTGCAAAGTAAGTTCTTCAAGTATGCACTTGATTTTAGAAATACAACAGGGAACTTGGATTTCAAGGCTGCTTTACAGAAAAGTTAGTACTGTATAACGTGGTCAACCAGAATTATTAGCAGTTTCTGGACCACAAACATCTGCCAATTTTGTTTTGTCAGAAACTACAGAAAGATAAATCTCCATAAATAACGCCAGGTTCATTATGAGCCAGTTTAAATGCTAATGTTGATAAATCAAAGGCATCTGGTCATGACATTCCACACTTGTCATTTCGGTTTTGATACTTCGCCTTTAAAATGTGATTTAATTCAACATGTCTTAAAAGAAGAAACAGGACGAAATACGTTCACAAATAAGTACAAACTTTCTCAATTGTATTATTTTAAGTTGATTTTGCCATTACTGGTATTTACTATACTAAAAAGTGATTAAGTTAACAAATAAATAAAAAAATCCCTCTGATCTCACATGCCTGTTGGTAATGAAATTGTATCAGGCAAAACAATATATTAAATTAGTAACTCTGTATGTAGGCTGATAAAACTAATGCAAACCATGGCTCCAATATACGACGACATCTGTGTATTAAACACTTTTGAGAATGTTTCTCCAGAGGCACATTTTGTAAACTGACCCCAGACAAAACCATCCACAGGTTTTCTGTGTTTAACCCCTTTCCCCACCATGTTACATTACTTATTTATGATGCTTTCCTGTCCATTTCTGCTTGAAGACAAAATTCTAACATTAAACTTCCCTACAAATGATTCACAATGGTTTTGTTTTTACAGCCTGAAACTGGGAATTTCAGGTATGTAGATTCAGAAGAAGTAATTTCTTACCATATGCTTCCTCTATAAGAGCACAATAAGGATTAATGCCCATTCCGTTTTGCTTAGACTCTTGTTCTCCAAGACGCAGAATATTTTCAAGTCCATTTAAAGCCACCTGTACTATCTTTGAATCCATCACAGTCAGGAGGTCACAAAGAGGCTTGGTACAACCTAGTGCTACCAAATACCTTTAGAACAGCAGAAAAACAGAGGGGGGTGGGAGAAAAAAGAAGGACGGATAATTCAGCACATTTATTCTCCTTTTTCTGTTTTCAAATACTGAAACTGTTAACTAACTCCTGATTTTCTGTTTGACATTATCAATATCAACTCTGGAATATAACCCTGTGAAAGCTTTAGGTGGAATACCACTGAAACAAAGCAGTATCAGTCAATTTGTTATTAAGTCTACCGCATGGATTTCAGTCGTTTTTCTGAATTTCTACATGTATAGTCAAGAGTTTTAAGGAATCACCATTGTGTTTAGGATTTTTGTTGATATGTTTGTCAGGATTCAAATGCCAAAATAAAAATGCTTTAGAGAAGATAACTTAGGCAGAAAAAAACCAGTAACATATCAAACTTACCTTATCTGTTCAGGGGTTCCTCCTGATGTTGCATTAGTTATGGCCCATGCTGCTTCTTTTCTGGTGCGAAATTCAGCCTTTTGAAGAATTTCAATCAATATTGGAAAAATATTTGCATCTGTAACAGCCTAAGAGAGGAAATTAGAATATTCTATGATAACTTATAAAAATTTAGTATACACAGAAAAAGAACATTTATACCCCTCAAAATAAGTCAGTGATGCCAGCTGATACTAAAACAATGTTTTTGTCAGAAGGCACCACACTAACTAGAACTACTAAACTGAAATTCAGAACTATTCGAACATTGCACTGCACTATCAGATATTCACCATCGTAGTATCATCTTTGTTGATTTCTCTGTCTCCAATGGACAGAATACTGCTTACTGAATAGGCCCATTTAAAAACCATATGACAGAAGCACTAAACCTTAGTTTTCAAACCAGAGATCAAGCTTCAGAACAAAACTTCACTTTGTTTTATTCTAGTTTGAATTTTCCATAGAAAGGCTGTGTCTATAACTGGAAACTATGTTATATATATTTAAATTACACCAAGAAGTAACATTTTCACCCGTGATTGAAGTGAAGAAATGAATCTGTTTCTCTAGTACAAATCATGACAGCTATACTTTAAATATTATTTTATTAAGTTATTTATAATAGTATTTCAAAATTTAGAAGGTAGTTTAAGGTAGTTCTAACTGTTCATTTTAGTTCATTTAAGGTAGTTCTAACTGTTTATAATTTTACCTAAGAGAAATAATTCTGAGTCAATGTAGTATCTACTTATTTTTCCCTGTGAAGGATAACCAAGTGAACTAGTAAAATGAAAACAAAACCAACCAAATAACAAATATACAGGCTTTACCTGAATCTGAGCTCTGTTTCCTGCAGTTATATTAGAAACAGTCCAACATGCTTCCTTTCGAATAGATTCCTTGGGACTACTAAGCAAGTGCAAGAGACAGGGTAATGCAGAGCAGTTTAGAATTACCTAAAATAATTTGAGAGTTGAAAATTGGGTTGTACAATATACATACGTATCTATTGGCTTGTGCAATATACATATATATATATATCTCTCTAAGAACACTTTACAGATAACTTCAAAAGACACAGATTTTGCAGCACATTTAATATTACACAAAGTATTATAGATAATATCCTGGAAAAGTGAAGTGTTCAATGCTGCTGGATGGTCTCTTACTTGACACTCCAATTTGAAAGAATCTGCCCTCGATTAAGTTTAGGCCAGAAGACTGAAGACAGCAAAACTAAATTAAAGCTGGAATATTAATAACTGACAATAACTGAGAAGTGTAAATCTAATTTGTATCATTCTTTTTTAGTGTGTTTTTTTTAAGAGGCAGATGTTTTCTATTTAAATCTTTAGTGAAATCCTCTCCTGTAGAGCTCACAGCAAATTACATAATTATCTTATTTCCTTATTTTCCCTTTACAGTAGCTCTATCAGCCTTTTAGACTCAATTTTCTTGAAAGCAAGAAGTGTCTTAGTATTTCCTGCATTGCTTCTAACTAAATTGCAATGCCTAAAATTAAAAGATAAATCTTTAGAACAAACTGCATCAGTAAGACTGTCACATACAATCCATGGACAAATCAAGTATGAACCTTGCTTAAGGTGAAAGTCGAAGTGAAAACTTTTGACTACATTTGAAGACTTAAAAAAATGGAACAAGAATAAGTAATTGAACCTCCACTAGGAGGAAAAAATACTACTTTGATCATGAATGGGAAGCAACATTCAAGGTACCATAGAGGAATAAAGCAATTCACTACATGCAGTGCTGTAAGAAAATGTTCATTCTTGCACTAATTTTATGTGTAAAATAGCAGCCTAGACTGACTATCTTATTTGTACATGGCCTCTTTCAATGCTATATGCAGATACCTGTACTAGACTTTTTCTTTTGGTCACAATTATCTTTTACAGAATTCTGTAACTATTCTTCTACCTGCTGATTATTTGTTCTTATATTAACTAGTCTTACCTGTGTTTGGATATCATCCCCAGTAACAATATTTCCAACTGCCCTTAGTGCAGGGGATACCACCTTGTAATCATTATGCCTGGAGACAAATATTGAATTGCTTTACATTATCCAAGTGTTAAAGTATAACTTTGCATTTTCAGTGAACAACGGTTTACTTCAGGTGCTAAATTTTGAATTGCAGAAAACACTGTATTACTTCTTACGCTTTCCCTGTTTAGCCAAATTGGACAACTGCAAGCCCAAAACCGAATTGCTGAATCAAGGAAAGGGCATCTCTGTGGAACAACACAACTTAAGAGCAATCTAATTGCCCAGCAGACTTATTTCACCCAGCTCAAGTATTACCGAATACAACACTGGAACCTGCATCCTTCAACAGCGATAGAAACAAAAAGGAGTGTTCTTATCTGTATACTAAAACTCAGCAGCCCCCCCTTCGTAAGACAACTTTCCCCTTCTTTAAGTCAATAGCCCTAGAAGCCAGTACCTTAAGCCCACATTCCAATGTCTGTGACACGGAGGAAGGAAATCTCCTTAGCTGTCCTAAAGCATCTATAGAAGAAAAAGCAACCTCACCCTTTCCTGACAGCTATACAAATGAGTTTTTCACAGGCAACTGTGCTGTCAGTGCTGGGAACTACTATCCCAAAGTTGCTTTGCAGTCCCCATGTGAACACAGGGATTTAGTCTCCCTTTTTAGCACAATAATGAACCATAAAACAAATATACTGAAACAGTTCAAAAGTGGCAAGAGTCTGCCTCCAGACTTTGTGAATCCAAGAACTGTTTGTATTGCAACTACACCTAGAAAAGAAAACAAAATAAAACAATGAAATGGAAAAAAAAGAAAAAAGGTGAGGAATTGATTTACAATTCAAACTTGGTTTTCAGTCTTTACCTTTCTATTTCTCCATGTAAATGAAATCCTATATTAAAATTTAAAGAATATAAAGGAATACTTTGGAGAAAACTTTTTTTATTGTCAATCTCAGAAAAAATCCCAGGAGCCAAGCAACTAAAAAGGTTTCACACTGAATTCATGTTAACCACTTCTCACTAAATAAATTCAGACTTGAGATGACAAAAACCCCTCAGTCTGACTTCATTATATTAACAGTACTCTAAGATATTTGTTTGGTGAAGAGAAGACTTACATCAGCAGCTCTACCAATCTCCGACATACTCCAGAATCAATAACAGCTTGAATTTTATCATTGGGACCATCTGAAAGGTATGAGAGGGCCCAGCAAGCATCTGCCAGTACATCTGGGTCACTGCTAAACAACAGTCTTGATAAAACATTTAAGCAAGGAGCAACCTAGGTTAAAGAAAAATAATGCATAAAATTAGGTGGCTTATATATATATATATTAGGTATATATTTGTTCATCTTAAACAAAAAACATCTGCTTTTACAGATAACCAGATGATCAGGAATTACTCACACTTTTTTTGATCACTCAGGGAACAAAATTTCACTGCAATAGTATTTTGTTATATTGCTGCCTTTGTAGGAGTACTGGAGGCTATCTGTAGTAACCAATCTACAAATGGTTTACCACAGAGAAACTTAAGAGTAATTCAGAGGACTCAACATTCACTGAACCAAATTAAACAAGCAACGTCTGACTTCAGTTCTCACTGCAAATGTAGCCTCTGGTCTTATCTCCTACAAATTCCACACAGACAGAGCCAAAAGAACTAGACCTTCTTAGCACCACTGAAAACCTGCCAGGTTTCAACTGTACAGCCTGGGAATTTAATATTCTTTGTAGAACATAATTCTTTATCTTGCATCAGTTTTGCAATTTAGCCTCCTTCATGTGTCCATCTGATGCTATTTCAAGCAGCAAAAAGAAAAGGAGCTGCTCATACTACCAATCACCTAGATGGCATCATTTTCCACTGAATTTAAGTGTTTAAGCAGCAAGAAATCTTGCTGGCTTTTCACTACCAGAACAAAAGCTTACTGAAGAGTATAACTTAGGCAGAGTAATTGTGAAAGAATCAATTAATTGACATCAGAAATTCCCCTTTTCTTTAATATCTCTCCAAGAATTATTAAGTAGCAATGACAAGAATTACTGCTCCATGAGGTAAGCTTCAAGACACAAATTCTCTCCAGATTATCTGTAATAATTTAAACTCTTGTCTCTTCTACCAGAATATCCAATGTTCAATTCCATTTTTTTGATGTCATTAACCTCACCAGAAATTAATTTCTTACTGAAAATAAGAGAATCTAATACTACTACTAGCCTCTAAAGTGATATAAACCCATACTGGAGGGAGGGGGAGAGCATACAGGCAAAACACCTGTCATAGTCTGATTTAACTGCATCTGATAGAGCAGAACACTAAAAATTATATTCCTACAGTGTGTGCTTGCAATCACAAAATAAGTTCACAGAATCTTAGGGGTTGGAAGGGACCTCAAAAGATCATCCAGTCCAACCCCCCTTCCAGAGCAGGGTCACCTAGAGCACATCACACAGGAACGTGTCCAGGCAGGTTTGAATGTCTCCAGCAAAGGAGACTCCACAACCTCTCTGGGCAGCCTGTTCCAGTGCTCTGCCACTCTCACAGGAAAGTTTTTTCTGATATTTACATGGAACCTCCTATGCTCCAGTCTACACTCACTGCCCCTTGTCCTACGACTGGACAACACTGAAAAAAGCCTGGCTTCATTGTCCTGACACTCCCCCTTAACATTACATTAAAAAGATAAAATTGAGTCTGTCTCCAGATTCAAAGGTTCTCTGTGTTATAACCCATTATAAATGTAATTTGTCCTCAGCTTTCCAATTCCACAAAATATTATACCTTACTGAAGTCTGGAGGTGGGTTCTTTCCTCTACAGAGATTTGAGAGAGCCCAGACTGCATTTCTAGTTGTTGTAAGACGATTTGAATTTGTTAACAGTCTGTCAAAGAGAGACAACAATTACAAATATTTTTTTAATTGAAAATGTTAAGTCTTTTTACATCTATCACCAACAGTACCTCAAATCAGGAAAAGAAATCCTATTATTTGGCATTAGTTTCAATTTATTTATCTTCATATCTTACATGCTGCAAGTATTTCAGAATCAAGTGAATCTAAACAGATTATTTTATGTGGACATCTCATTCCCAAATCAAGTACATGCATATAAAATAAAGCATTGCTCACATGAAAAGTCACACCCTCATCTTTCCTGAGGGTCTTCAAAAGGAACTAGGAGACAAAGGCCTCCCTGGAATTAATTTTCATGTTTTCATTCAGGGAATGGAATTAATAACAATAAAAACTGATCCACAAAAATCAGGTTCATATTCAGATACATACCAAAATGTGTGAAAATGTCCTTTAAAACCTTGAGGAAGATAATCACATTCTCCTGTTATTGTAAGCTATTTTACAAATGTTTCAAAACATGATATTATTTTAAGCAATAATAAATTGAACAAAATTTGTGTTCTGTACATTTTTCCCTGTGATGAAGCAACTTTACATCCGATTGTAAGCTGGAATGATATTCCTAGTGAAGAGAAATCTTCCTGTGAAACAGCTCATGTAACAACTGCTCTGCCAGCTCATCTCAAGCAAATGGATCACTGCGCATCGATAGCGCCTGAAGCTACTGGACCAAAGTGGGAAACCCACCTATTGCCAAGTCAGTTGGAATGACACAAATGCAAGTGTGAATAATCTTGCTTACCCTTTATTTCCACAACTCTGGCAACACAGTTCTGCACAATACTTAAGTTTCATACCTGTGAAATAACACTTCTTTCTTTTTGCAAACATTGGAAAACTTCCTGTTGTGGACTAACTGATTAAACATATGCCTGAAACTCAGGTAATCCAAAACATTACAGTCATAGCAACATAATGAAAAAAGAAACAGTCTCAACTTAGCAAAAAGTTTATATTCTCTTCAAAAAAATTTCAGTTGAAGTTTACAGTTATCTATACCTGTATACTGTATTATAACATTAATTTAAAATACTTACTCCAAGAGGGGTGGCAATATTCCGCAGTTTAAAACAAAGTCTCTGCATTCTGCATTATCACCAGCAATGTTACCAAGAGCCCATACTGCCTTAAAAAACAAAGCATCAAAATGAATTTATTACATGCTTGCAAATCAACATTTACAGATAATATGTGTATTTTTACAGTAAATATTACAGAATCATTACAGTATCATTACAAAGATAAAATTTCAGATTACTACTGATTTCTATATTACGGGTTTTTTTAACTCATATGAAGTCCATTACACATACCTGAAGTAATCCTTTCAAGGAAAGAAAGTCTTCTGTTATGAAAATATGTCGATTCACGTGCTTTTCAATAAAAGGATGCACATACCCTTTCTCAATAGCTACACTGGCTCACTATGTGTAACAGATTCAACAAAACTAGCTCCAAGTTGCAAACAATATATGACGAATAAAAAAAGTTAAGTCATGAACCTTGACTATACAAACTTGGTAAATAAAAGCCAGTAAATTACAGCTTCTCTTAAGCAGAAACAAAAAACCCTACAACCACCAAAAACCCAACTCCAAAACAAAACACAAAAAGTTCAGGAAAATACTACTGAAGGCTGTAATGTAATAAGATGGAAGAGCAGAAGTATAAGACATAAAGCTGCAAGATAACTTAAGGAAAAAAAATCCACATTGTTTTCTCTTATGTTCTTCCAATTATGGTGTTTTAGATCCTGTCCACCTGTAAATGCTCCAGAAGAAATGAGGTGCTTTCTTCAAGTTACTCAATAACATGAAATAAAAGAATAAAATACAGGTTCAAAGAAACTTGAAGCAATTGAAAGGAAAAAAAAAAAAAAAGAAAAAAAAATACACTGAAGGTAAAACAGAGCTCAAAGCTTCTCCAACCACACACACTTCTAAAAAAACATTCATAAATTAATTTTATGATCAAACACCTTAAAAAAACAGTTACCTGCTCCTGTACATCTTCATGTTCTGAACTAAGCAACTTAATAAAAATTGGAACAGCTCCGGTCTCAATTACAACTTTAGTGTGTAGAAAAGTTCCAGATGCTATGTTTGTCAATGCCCAAGCTGCTTCAAACTGTTGAGGAACAGAAAGACAACCATGTTAAATCACTCAGCAGTAAGGCTTAAAGTAACGAAAACCAGTTTGACATGAGAATTGCAGAGGCTAAGTCTTCTAACCTTTTTTCCTTTCACTGAAATGCAACTATTACTACCATTGTACTTTCTGCACAAAAAAATAATTGGCATTGACAAAATCTCTATTTAATAAGCACTTTTGGTACTTGAATTATTATTAGGTTTTGGCTTACAGCACTAACTGTAAGAAATATTTCAAATCAGTATTAATTAATACAAATCCCTTCTGTTTACTCTACAGTACGTTAATTCTTTTAAGTATGAATGTACACGAGGCTTAGGTGCTATTCCATGGGCTACCACAAATAGAACAAGCTACCCCTATTGTTAGTTATGTATTTTTCAAACCAGATTCTGTTCACACATCAATGCTGATCTTAATATACCACTCTGGAATCTTTCAAAACACATTCTGCTTTCAACACCCCTGTATTTCAAGTATTTGATCAGCTGAATACATAACCCTAAAGTCTACTATGAAATTCACAGGAGTCAAGTCACAACTTCAGTGGCAATAACTGACATTTTACACAGTGAAAATATACAGCTTCAGTGGTTAAAAGTAATTAAATGTGGTTACGAAAAAAATCCAAATCACATGCTTTCCAAAGCTGTTTTGGGGGAGTTCTAATCCCATTCCAAACCCCAATCAGTACCAGCCAAACTCACTTGCACCAGCCAAACTCACTTGCAGAGTGTAATTCTCACTCCTCTCTAGAAATTTCACAAATCTCTGCACTACTCCTGGTTTTTGTATGACTTCATCTATAGGTGGATTAGGCTCTAGAGGATAAAAACAAACATATCTGTGTGAGGCTAACAAAAAAGACCAAATATATTACTCTTTCAGTGTGACACAAAACATGGATACGATTCTCAGTTCTTATTTTTTAGCATTCAATCGTTTAATCTCAAATGAACTTCTGACTTTAGAACACTGCAGGATCATCTCCAGAAAGTGCTACCATTTAGTAAACACCCTATTACGTATAATAATAGTAACACATACTATTATCCATTGGCATATGTTAGTAACTTACCTACCATGCTATACCAATACCAGCATTAATTTAAGACTGCATAACTTACAGTCCCAGCAAAGCCAAGTTACAACTGTTCTTTGGCAGCCATATGATTTTTCTCCCCTCAAATACAGAATGAGAATCAGAAGCTGGATCACTGCAACAAGTACCGTAAATAATGTTTGTGTGCAGTTAGTTACTGCCCTGGACACTTCAATCAAAACATCCTTGCTTTTGTTACTTTGTCTGAAAGACTTAACATTAGAATAATGAAGCTTTCTGTATTTAGCCATTAGGTTGGAATAGATTTGGCATGGTTCCTCTATAAACAGAACTAGAAGTTTCAGCAAACTCTGTTTTCAAGTAAAACAAAACTAAAGCTTAACTGATTCTCTTATGACAAAAATCTGTATTAACAACAGAGAAGGAACAAAAAGTCAGGCAATGTTTACATACCTTTAGATAGCAATTTTCTGAATTTCTGAGTTGCTGTGAGTTGCTGATCAGGATCATCTGAGAAAATCATCTGCACCATATCCACTGTAATAACTTCTTCCTAAAAATGAAAGAGGATTTCTTATGTCTAGTACTAGGCTCATTAACGGATAACGCTCTATACACACCCCAATTACCTCTGGGATAGGTACAGTAGAGCTGACATCAGGATCCTGAATTGGACTTTCTACCATAGATTCTTCATTTCCCGGGAGAGAAACATTGCGGCGTTTAAACAGCTAAAAAACAGAAGGAATTTTTGGGATACATTAGAACTTACCATAGAGTAGGTACTGATGAGACACACTGGAAAAGATGCTTTCACCAACACTAGTAAAATCATTTCCACTACTCACCTTCCTACTCATCCCTGCAAATGGAATTCTACATGAAAAGTTCAAAGAACATGAAGAAGAAAAACACTACTACATCTGTATATTGATAAACTGCACTGCAACACTTCAGAGACATTTAAAAATTGAAGCTCTTTTTAATTAGCAAAGATTCATACATTTTTCCACACATAAAAAGGTACAGATATTTTTCACCTTTTATCCCTCATAATTAGCATTTATTTTTAAGAAGGAAACAGTATTCTACAAGGTTTCTCCTTTTTTAGTTTATAGGCTAAAACCATCAACACAGCCAATGTCTGTATTTCAGTTACAGTCCGTTCCCACCTTCAACAGAAGGACTAAAATCTCTCTACTTTCTTTGCATGCCAATTAAAAAGCACCTATATTTAATATACAATTGCAGAAAGATTAAAACAGGAACATTATTTTAATATATTTAGAGAAAAAATGGTGTAGCTTCTAGATGAACTTTCAAATTATGTAACATTAAACATTCTCTAAGCCCCAAAATCACTTAAACGTTGACTGGATTCACTGTCTGTGCTCAGAATACATATCTGCACTGTAGTATTTAATAGGCTTTGCTTAATGAGTGCCTCTTCATTTTCTGCCATACAAGAAAAACATTTACGTAAGTCTATTTTTTTCTAGAAACGAAACCTAATTTTTACCTTTAATCCAGTACTACACTTACAACTACTGTAAGTAGCGATTCTAAATATATTTTATATTGGTATCTTTAAAATGTTAGAATTTCAGTGCCTTGATTAAGATTTCATCCTTTAGTATAATAATGAAATCTTCTACTAAATCCTGAAGGTTTTCTGTTATTGCACATGCCCAAAACTGCAGAAGCAACTCCATGTTTACATCTACCCATATTTCAAACAGGAAACTAAAACAAGACATTCGCTGCTTTGCTCAACACACTTCTGGACTGGGCACAATCCTGGACACAAAACAAATACAGAAATCTGGGCATAAACAACGTTTAATTCCACTTAAACCCACAAGTAAGAAGAAACAACATCTCTCTTTTGCAAGTCCAGCCATTATTTCTAGCACTCAAAAAGGACACAGAAGCTCTTGGTTGAAATGCACAAACTGTTTTTGCTTAGGTTCACAGTCTATCAGCTATAAATTCTTCTGGAGCGAAAACAGTCTCATCTCCCTGCATAAACTTATTTTCCCCAGTTCAAGAGCTGAAAAATACCAGTCCAACAAATTAGGATCAAGGAGAGTATTAACGGTGTTCTCACTGTTACAACAGTCAGCATAGAAGAGGGAAGACCCATTATTTTCATAATTTGTCTAGTGACTATTTACTACAAAACTTTCAGCAG